ACGTAGACATACTTAACAGAATATTGATGGACGTATTCGATAAATCGGCGAAAAAAAAACAGCGAATTCGGTGGGTATCCCTATCTTCTGATCGAAATAGAATGTAAAAATAAAATTTTGTAAATTCGAATAGAACATTCTCAGGAAATTATAAACAGCCGTATAAAGAGAAAATCTGCATAATAATTCTTTTGTTGGCTTACGGTTGAGAGTTTGTTAGTAAGAAACGAGGCGCGTTCTTTTAATATCTATTGTTGGATGAGTCATCCATCTGTTTTTTTTTTTTTTTTTTTTTTTTTTTTGTTCTATTCAACAAATTACTTCCGAAAGTGGAAAACTAGATGCACTGATGTATGCGAGAAAAAAAAAAAGGAAAAAAAAACATAACAATGAGAGCCGTTGTGGCAAATGAGTTGTCAAGAACTATCAGTCAATTAGTTAGAAAACAAGGCAAATTGCCCACTACTAATGGTAACTCATTCGTTACCTATTAATCGGGTAAAATTGTGATAATCAATGATAATACCACCAATTAGTGAAAAATCAAACATAAAACAAAGCATTCACAGCATAGCTGGTCGAACCGTAAAATTGACAAAACGTCATTTAAGTCTAATTAGTAGTGGTAGAGTGAACCAAAGGTTCTTTGGCTCTTTAAGACATTCTGGCTCAATTCTCAATCTCTAGGAGGTGATAAGTTATCATCTATCAGTTATTCATTACTATCAATGGTACTATCAAGGAGAGAAAATTGAAATTCGAGCTTATTCCTGTGTTTATTGCTCTCTGTTATCTTCTATTGCTAGTCATAGATAAGTGCGAGAATGAATTAGTTTTTGGTAGTAAGAATGGAAGGAAAAGGAAAATGAATGCCTACCCTATCTACCCAACTGTCCTGCCCGCTCGCCTGCCCATATATCATATATAGAAGTGAAATGCCCAAAAAAAAAAGAAAAACCATTAGTGCATTCCCATTTATGTATTATAAGATTAGCACTTAACGGTGTGTTCATTTGTGTTTATTGCAATTGAATAATTAGTTTATAATTTGAGATTTATGAATAGACAGACAGCGATGTTTTATTGAATGTATTCATAGAATGGAAAAGTTGAGAGATCGTTTTTGTATGACAACGATAGTTTGTTATATTTGTTAAGGAAAAAAAAAAAGAAATAAAAATTTCGTTCTTTTTTTTTTTGGACAAAAAAAAAAATTGAGCAAGAAATGATAAGTTTCATATGTTTAACATAACATTTAAAAATTAATAAGAGATATATTTTATACAAATTTTTCTGCTAATTTCAAATGACTTTTGATTGATTGGTGTATAAAAAAATAAGTACGAGGAATTTTAAACTTCCATCATTCTTTACCATCTAATAAACATAATTTTAATGTTGTACCGCTTATTACAGTATTTACATTCTACGATTAATTATAAATTTTATTCACATTTTCCACTGCAAATGTCTAAAACGAGTTAGGTGAAATGTTTATAAAGTTGTAATTCCTGTTCCTTTGATGTTTTTTGATGGTTCGAGATACTTCTCCCAATCATATGGATATTCTGACATATCGTTATTGCGTAATGCGTCACGCAATAAGTTTGTTATTTTATTGTATTCTGGTTTTGAATAATATCTAAAAATAAATAATAACGATTGCATAGAATATATATATATATAAATATGATTTATTATCTTTCTGTGAAAAAATAAAATATAACCTAGTGGAATCGATAAGTCGCATAATTGTGATATATTCTCTTGGACAACCACCAAACAATTCTTTAATGTATTCATCTTTACGACAGAGTTGTTTACATCGGCCCACTTCGTCCTTGTCTTGCATATTTTTCCACGGTAAATAACCAACTGTTATTTCCACCGTAAAATTAATCATAATATTAGTGCGAAGTACAGCAATTCAAATAATAAATATCATAATCAGTTATTAGATTAACTAGGAAAAAAAAAAAAAAAGAATTCGATTTTGTGATTGCTTTTGAACGAATTGAACTATACTATTTGATTTTTTTTTTTTTGGTAAAGATAATACTGAAAATATTTTCATATAAGGAAAAGAGTATCCATAGCAGTAGGTAACTGTGTTATTTTCATTCGTAAATATTGACGTGAATATTGGCTTTGTAAGTGTGATTTCGAAATATTTGATTTTAATTATCATTTTAAATTATTTAAAATTTTTGTTATTTTAGGAAAGAGAAAAAAAGAGACTACAAACTTGCTGATACAGCCAACTTTCTAGATCATCTTTTCTACACTGCTCGCGTGATATATGACTGCTTATTGATGCATATCTGTAAAAGAATAAAATCTAAATTTAATTGGATCTGAATTTAAGTCTAAACTTAAATGTAAATTTAAGTAAACTCAAATTAACTGCAACTATTTGAATAAATTTAAAGAGTACCAGTTATTGCGATTAACTTAGTTAGCTACATGCTAAATTTTTTAATAAATCAATCATAAAAATAATCATTCGAATTTTGTCAATTTTCAAAAGTTAAAATCAACATCTTGATAAAATTTGGAGAATTATCTTATTATGCTACCTGAGAGTACCACGGAAACCAGCAGATCTTCGTGGATTACGTACGGATGATTGACTGTTAAGATATTTACGACACATGCCAAAATCGAGTAAATAAATTTTACGTAAATTTTTACGACCAATTGCAAAATTAGCTGGTTTGATATCACGGTGCAAATATCTTAATGCACAATAACTTTGTCTAAGTGCATCTTGCACTAATCATTTTATTTTTAAAATTTAGACATTCTAAAAGCTTTAAAATTTTCTATGATAGTAATAATAATTTACCCAATGTTGTGAAGTTCTTGAATTGCTTCCAAACATTTCATACCTACAGAAAGTGCGCAACCCATAGAAAATTTTTGTATTTTTTGTGTTGGATCATGTTTTCTCAGATCCTATAATTTCATTTTTAAAAATAATTCGAATTTATATTATTGTTTTTTTTTTTCTTTTCACTTTTGTTAAAATCTTCTTACTATTATATATTTAGCCAGTTTTTTTTTTTTTTTTAAAATGAAAATTTATTTACTGTGAGAGACAGTCCAACTAGTGTCATCACCAAATATTTGTTTTCGCCAACTAAACCGCTATCCAAAATATCACAGAAATGTGTCGCTTTTGCTCTCTTTAATTCTTTCAAAACGTAGTATTCTGCTTTCAGCACCTGTATACCAATGTGGTTCATAATTTCCTATTAAGAATGGTGGTCGAAAATTTAGTAATTATATGTATAGCTCCATATTTATTGTTTATATTTAACTTTTTTTTCTTTTTTGTCAACAATACTAGTTACTGAATTGCTTTGAAAAATATCATTGTTTTAGTAAAAATTAATTTAAACTGTTCGACGCAATACACATTTACTTTAGCAGTTGCATTGACACTTTCAGTCTTCATGGCGTATTCGTTTCCTTTACTATCTTTTACCTGTAATTTTTTAATTACTGTCCAGATATTTACAGGTGACACTACTAATTAAGATAGATTAAAGATTTCTGAGTTAGCTGTTATCAGTGATATCAATTAATATAATTTACCAAGTAAACAGCTCCAAATCCACCTTCGCCAATTTTGTCCAAAACAGTCCAGTCACCAAGTACATCTCCGGGATGTAAATAAACTATTTTCATTGCATCTAAATGCCTTTTAAATTTAGTGAATTAGATATTGAAATTGTATTTCTTCTCAGCGATTTAATTAACAATTTTGGTAATCGGTCATAGAAATGTGTGATATTAGGAGAGAATTTAGTTAGACCTTCTTCTGGATTAGGATTAATCTCGACCATTATGCACTCCTAGAGTGTACCAATGATTGGTCACTTTATAGAATTACAAATATATAAAATAATCCTTACTAAGAATTCCAGAAAATTTATAGCATTAAAGATTGATGAATTTTTATAAACTAATAAACTTTCTCATTTGCATATAATACTTCTTCATCCATTCCAGTTTGCAGTTTGAGCTTCAACATAATGAACTTCAAAACATAGTGCAATTTCAAACAGACATCTATTTCTTCATGCAACGTAATTTTTCAGCAGATTTTAACCATACTTAATATAAAGAAACGTATCGTAGTTGAAAAACGTAAATTGCATCAATATTCAATAGCTTTTTAAGAATTTAAGCTAGTAGCACTATAAGTGTGCACGCACTGCTTCCATCACTTATCACTAAATCATACTACTTAAGAATAAACTGAAGCTGGTCAGAACTCAAACTTAACACTAGGTTGCCTACTCAGTTGTTCATTTGTTCTATTGCCACACAAAAGGATGACTTCATTGATTTTGTAAGGAAAACGCCTGCCAATTCTTTTATCCGTTGAATGAATAAATGAAATTACAAATAAGGAAGAGAAATAAAAATTCATAAATAATATGTCAACTTTCTGAACTGCTAACAAGAAACCGCACTTTTTTCTGCCCGAAAAGGCGGAAATTGAAAATACCATAATAGATTAAATTACTTGGTAAATCTGTACTAATTTATATCCAGAAAGTTACTATAATGTTAGCAATTATCTCAGAATCATTTTTGACTTACGGTATGGTATGTCTTAATAAAACACCTGACTATTGAAAAAGTTTGTCTTTTTTCTTATGAAACATAAAATTAAAAAACGTATAAATAGACAGAGAAACTGACCCTTACCGACTATGATGAAGAAAAATATGACAACTTAAGAAGTACGGAAAAGGGATGAGAAGGAACTAGTATCTTCTTCATAAAGCAGAAAATTTTTTTTTAACAAATTCTCAATAGGCCTAATCACTACTGTAATATGACATTGAATATTTTAAAAGTGAATTTCAAGAAAGCACAAATGCACAAATTACAAACATTTTCAGAAAATTAGTCTTTTTTGCAAAGAAATAATGCCATTCGCAAAGTGATGTAGGATTAATGTTACTCGTTTCAGTTATTTCAATAAGTCATGAATGTGACAACAACGGTATACCACCTGCATTTCTTCTTTTCAAACTTTCCAAAGTTTCCACAATCTTTTCGTTTACTTTTGCAATCAATTTTTGCAGACTTTCCAAAGATGGATGATCCTCCGGAATGCATAGCAACTAAAACGCAAAGGAAAACTTAAATATAAAACATAAAACAGCGCAAACTGCCTCAGGCATTTACACCTCTGTAAATTTTAACTAATTTCATATATAACATTTGGAAATTAAAGTTCGACAAGATTCATATGATCAGTGGTGGTGTCGTACACGGAGCATAATAGGTTCGTTCAGTGAGAAAGGTAACATTAAAAAAAAATAACTCCACTAATAAACTCCAATCAATGGAAAATGAAAAGTAAATTTACTTCAGGTCCACCGCCGTATATTGATTGGAGAAATAACCAAGCTTCACGAGGTAACTCCACATATTGTGAAGGCCGTAAATGCAGTTTTGCATCACACGCATTACTACTACGAACCAGTATGGTATTATTATCAATGGATCCCGGTGGCTCTGAAAAACATTTCTGAAACTACAGAAACTCTGACTGGAAACAAAAAATAACAGTAATGCATTCAAAAATGATAGCAATTCTACTACATTTCTAAAAATATAATGAACGGTTTAGAGAGATTTCAGTGTGGAAAACCAATTCACAAAATGGATTTCAATCAGACTTGTAGCAGATGCAAGCAAGTACAGCCAGTGCCAGTATTATGTGATTATTTTTACTTATTTTTACACTTGTAAAAACTTTGTTTCGAGATGGAATTTGAAATGCAATGCTGGAAAACTTAAAATTACCAAATTCATTTTCTTCAACAAATGCCTTCCATTTGTCAATCCAAGCTTTCGCGATAACATTCGGTGGCATGTAATAACCATAAGTAAGAGCTGGTATATTATTTTTCAATCGCTTCAACTGTCCCTCCAATGTTAAGAATGCCCTTAGCTCAATTTCCCGTTTACGTTTCATTACTTGAAATTCATTTTGGCAGGTCAAACAATAGTGCAACTCGGAACTTGGAGGTCCACCACCAAATCTAAATTTTAAATGTCATAAAGCATAAGTTAGCATCAACAGCGAATAAATGGTACAACCAAAACTTTCTGATCAGAGATGAAACTATGACGCAGACTCACAGATTCCCATATGTTTTGCGCTGTAAATATTAACAATAAAGAGCAAAATGTTACTTAAATACTTAATTCATTTAAATAGTTCACATCACTGATAGAACTTTACACAGTGCTTTTAAACTTACTTTTCATAAAGAAAATCCCACAGTGAACTGCTTATGGTTGCATAATAATCAGTAAGACTTGCTGCTCTACGTGGGAGGATTTGCGAGTGTTGACAAAGAAAATCATAATTTGTAATGGGTCCAGGATTTGAAAACGTTGAGAAACGATGCAACCATTCTCGAGAAATGTAGCGATGTAATGAGACCTTCACATGAAAAGGAATTTCACTATTTAATCTAATGTATTTTTTGTAATACTCTTAAGTTTGATTAGCTTTAATCATGCCCACCAATTATCTGGTGTATAAAATAGTAGAAGACCAACCTTTATTTTATCATTTTCCTCAAGCATCTGTCTCACACGAATTCGAATGTCATCCATACTCTGAGATGACTGCCGTTGATAAAATAGTACATAAGCTTCTTTACTCAAGATATCACCGATTTCCAATCGAGTTACCACATTGTCATCAAATTCGTACCAATTATCATCCACTTCATTCTTGCAGTAAGCAATATAATGCCCGCCTTTAAATAAAATAAACTTTATTCATTAAACTCCACAATCGAAAGAGTTCGGTTCCTACAAATGTCAATCAGATTGGGTGAACTCAACGAAGAAGGCAGATTAATATCAATAATACTAATAAAAGAACACTTCTTAAAGCAATTATTTCATCCATGACTTACTCTCGGCATTTGCACCATAATGTGTGATGAATGCAACTAAATCATAGAGTACTGGTTCTTTGCTTTTTTCGAAATTGGCAATAAATGGTGTTAAATCCAGATCATGTACTGGAAATGTTACCTTACTTCGTACCTATAAAATCCCTTTTTTGAATCCTAAAAAATTACGTCACAAAGAATTTCTGTAAATTAAAAAATTTAAAAAAAAAAAAAAAACAAAAAACAAACTTTAACTGAATCCGATAGATCGTGCCGAAACCGTTTTAAATGTATGCATAAAATTTCTGGCGGATCGATGATTTTGCAAATTTTGACACCGTTCCGCAATCTGAAAACGTAATGGACAACTTTAAACGAGATAGTAATTCAGTTACGGAAATCTCTCTTGAACACTATCAAACACCTGAAGCTACTGTTTAATTATAAAATATAGTTTCTATCCTCTTGATTACCCAACCATTTGCTGAATATGGTCATGCATAAACATAATAAAAAGGTCCTATGACCAAAGCTAAAATAATATTTCACAAAATTAATTCGCCAAAAAATCTATACTTGGAACATTTCTCGCAAGAATACATATTTTCTCCACAAAGATCATCAGGCAAAAAGAACGCTGCAAGTGCATCATTTAGAGAAACTACATCCCCAAATAGATAATGATATATTGAACGAAACAAGCTTCCTCCAAGCCACCATGGCCACTGCCAAGAAACGTTCTCATTGTTATCAACTTCTTCCTGTAAATTATTATGTATAGCAGAAAAAAAAAAAAGTAGAATAGCACTGAATCTGATATATTCGCAAAGTACAATGTACTTCCACGAAGACTTACTTGCTCATTCCTGTCTGCTTTCTTGTTCTCACTGTTTAGATTCATTGAATATGACGCAATATGATCAAGCTGTTCTCTTGTTGGAATGCTCAACGATAAATCCTTCAACGATTGTTTTGTAGCGAATAATGATATAAGTGATCAGGAAATTTTTTAAAAACCAAGGTCTATTTAAGTTTACAAAAATCCCTGATTCTAAACCATGCAAAAATTAAGTTAACCTGGAATGTTTCACAAGTTTCTGAAAGATGATGGCATGTAAGACATTTCACAACACTACTTAAACGCCCATCAAAGACTTCCGTTACCAAACTTCGATAATAAATAGGTGATTTAGATTGCCTGCTTCCTGGAAGATAAATAAATTTCTATAAAGACTTATGCAAGTAAAGACAATTAAAAAAGTTTGCCGATTCAAGGTCTTCAATGTTGCAAAGACAAATCACATTATTTCCACGCATGCAATACAACAGCAAAGTTTTTGCATCTGCCGGAATTATTACAATATAAAAAACAAAATTTATTACGTGGACCCGTTTCTGCTGACTCCTGCTGATTTACGGAAAGGTCTGAAGTATGTGTTAGTCGATTGTTAGTTATAGGCTCGGAATGCTTATTTGCTTTCGAAGCTGTAGGCACCTCCTGTAATAACCCAATATTTTAAACATATTTCCTTTTCCGAAAAAACTCAAATAGACGAAAAATACAAATGCTATACTGATATTTTCTTCTCAAGTTCACTCACTCCATCAGAGCTCCAACCACTATCAGCAGTTTCATATCTTTCATCATCATCAGACGCGCTGCTACTAGAACGCGATGGAACATATCTGCTCCCTATGAAACCAGAGATGCTTTCTTCCTCCGTTTGTATATTGCAGCTACGTGTAATATTCCGATACTCCCACTACAAAGGAATTATTGTTAACAAGGAAAAACAAAAAAAACTAGGTATATATGAAAGTAGAAAATAGAAAAAAAAAAAGATTGGAAAAAAAAGTTTTAACTTACAGCAAAAACAGGCTGGCGTAATTCGCGATGTAATATATCTAGAAGGCACCTGATGAATTCCTGAGCATCCTGCTGCGCTGGACCACGAAATTGTGGGTACTGATTGCGGATTTGCTAAAAAAAGATTATATGGAATCAATATTTTCCTTAGAAGTTAATTCTTCAAATTAATCACAAAAATTTGATTCATCTGAAAGTAGAACATACGGCAAGAAAAAGTTGTGGATTAATGCAGCGATTCCGTTCTTCAGACCAAAGTGCCTGCAGTAGACACCGAAATGAACTCGAAATAGGCGGTTCAGCATTATTATCTAACACTTTTGAAGCAAAGGAAGCAATGGAATCAAGTGAACGGAAGAAGTCGGAAAAAGGAGGACAATTTGAGAGTGCCTGAATGGCTGCATTCATATAGCACGTGTTCCCCAAATTTGTTAGTCCTGTCAAACCTGAAAGTTTTTCAAAAAATATACAGGCATCGATGTTATTGCAGCGGTATCAATTTCTTACACATATATGTTCGTCTATAATCTAATTTTCTAACTTTTTTTTTTTTTTTTTTTTAAAATTCCATTACTCTTTCAACTTGCGAACGAAAATTTCGATGAAGTTTGCATGGTTTACTGGAAATAAGCGAACTACAGTTTTCACCTTAAAATATCTGAGAGTCTTATCTAAGTTGCACATATATAGAGTTGTGATCATTACATTACATGAGTATAGACAATGCAATAGCAAACCACGAGGATAAATTTGACTTTCGCTCATTCCAATATCTACCACAGATGGCTGCCAAACATCGTTGTGAGAATTGAATCCACGTCCAGTTGCTGCGTTCATTGGCCGAAACTGTTAGAATCAAAAACTATATTTTGGAAAATTAGTGAAATAAAGCAGAAGCTTTAATTATACTGCAGACAGTGATGATAGAAAAATGACTAGGATACTTAGGTATTAATGACTACCATGTTATTAAAAATAAAGTTGTAACAAATGTAACCAATATTTCATTGCGCACAGCTGACCTTTACAGATTTCACCAGTTCCTAATTCATCAAGATGACAACAGTTCAAAATTTTCAATTTGAATAGTCTTTCGAATAAAACAAAAACAGTACTCGAATATGAGTTCTTCTTTTACTAGAACTTTGACTGGTGATAAAAGGCATTTCAGAAATAATTCGTTCATTGCTAATGCCGATAAGTATATTTTCAGCTTCATTCTCAATTCTTGAATCCTGAAATTTTGTTGCTAAGTGTAACAAAAATATACTGAAATACTAGTTGAATCGATAAACCTTCTTAGCTTAAATGTTTGACAGACTCGGCAAATGAAACTAATGAAGCTTACCATATTCTGCTGTGACTTTGAAATTACATAATTTGGGACATCTGTTCCGTCAGATTGGAGACTCGAAGGAGTCACTCTTGGGATACTTTGTACTCTTTTCCTTGTTTCATATTTTTTCGCACATTTGTTCAACCTTTTCTTCACCATTACGTCTAATAAAAGCCACAATGCTTCATGTCACATAGGGGAACAAAATATTCATAACAATTGCTACCTTTAAAAACTAACAATTTAATATCGATTCTTTTTTGAAAAAAAATCGGTACAGCAGCAGTGAGTGCAACACTATATAGTTTCTAATACTAAGCGTCGTTTGATCTATAGCAATCTCATCTGCACAACTAGCACATTATGTATATGCATAAATATTTCATATATATATTGCTGCAAAACTAATTATTGAAAAAAAAAAGAAAATTCGACAATTTGTAAAATTAGATATCACAAAAATTCTTAAACTTCAATAAGAAAAATTTAAATTGCACAAATTAGAAATGAATGTAAAATGTAAGTTAACTTCCGACGTTTAGTACTAATTTATATCGTAAAAAAAGCCAGTATATGATAGAAAGAAAATAATAAGTCAAATTTACCTTAGATATGTCTAAATATGTCTGTACTGCTACTATCTTTTAACTTTAACTTTCACACCATAAAAGAGCCTTTTTGATTATAAATAAGCACTCACTCTTCAATTTCTTTTGTTTGCAACACACAAACTTAGGCTTAAGTGTTAATTGTGTCATTTTCAACCCAGTATTTAGCTGCAATAGTCAACATGTCCAAGTGTGCCAATTCTGGCGCGCACATTTGAATCTTTGGCCAGATGAATGTTTGCTGGCTCTTGGCAGGTTCTATTGTTTGGCTAATTTCGAGAAGCTGATTTCTTGTTTGTCGAGAATTATTGATATATTAGCTATAAATTAACGAATAGTACTTTTTGTGACAGTAAAATATTACTAAAGAGAAATAATATGAAAAGATTACTGAAGCATTCTTTTTTCGTCTTTTTTCACGATTTCTCTGTTTTTCCATCTAATTCATTTCATTGTGTTCTCGATATTTTGTCATATATTTCACTCGCTCTTAAAACAGTTTACTCACTTCAGTGCTGACAACTTAAATTTCCAAATTTCTTCGTGACGACTTCATTTGAATGGAAGAAAAATACAAATTGTTTGAAGCACTTGATGATGTGAGCAGCATCTTCTCAGAGGTGAATGATGAATGGACTGCTGCATGGTAAGCGTCTTTTCGGCACAAATTTATTAGGGGGTGTGATCAGTTGCTGAAGTATGCCATGCTGATGAAAACATGAAATATGCCATGTTTATAGCTATTGATTTTCATCGGGAATTGTATTTTACATTTATCCAGAAATCTAAAACTGTATAAATAGCATAATATTCACTTCCTTAGCTTCGAAGATAATTTTTCGGACTTCGCCAACTTCGCACATTCGATACAATTTTCAGTCCTTCAAGCCTTCGACTACCTACAACGCCTTTCGGAATGTGAGTAATTAAATGAGTTCGGATGGTGAAAGGATACTTTCTAAAATGAACTGACAAACTTGATACAGTTTCTATTATAGTTCGATTTTTTTAGTATGTTTCCGGCTAATGTTATATGCTGAGAAAACAAATTCGTCAACCGAAATATGGCATGAAATAGCTAGAAAAAATTTTGATGCAAAGAAATTATGCATTTTTGCGTGGTATCTGATTGAACGGGGACTCCAGCCTGATGTGTAAGCATTTATTTGCAATAATTACGTGTAAGTTTTTCTTGGTATAATGGAACAGAAACAGATAAATACAGATAAGATAAACTAATAGTGGTTTGTTATAATTAAATCAAATTTTCTTATTAGATAGAACAAATCAATTTGTTTCAGTGCCTGTGAAGATCGAAAAGTGGGGCTAATTGGTTCACGAATTTATATTTCACTGTGCTGTTTAAGTGGAGCGCAGGCTTTCAATATCTTCAATGATTATCTCTTCCAGGTGCTTTTTTAAATTTTTTCTATTGAATTGACTTTAAATTTCTTGCATGCAAAGGAAATTTCTAATTTTTGCTGGTTGCAGAGGGCTTTGGATCAATTGCGATTAATTCGTGGATTACTTAGTAGTGGTCATCTTTCGATAACTAATAATCGTGTAGACATAGTTCAGAATACCAAAAGTAAAAATAAGAAACCATTTGTTGTAAATAACGCAAGAGTAAAGCAAACAGGTATCTTTCTTTCATTCCAAATAAAATAATATAGTTTTTTCAAATATGTAATCTTTTTCGTCATATTTCATGTAATGGTGCAATGGACATTAAAAACAATAAATGGATCTGATGCAAGTAATGTGATCTATTTCAAGCCTAGCATGTTTTATATATTCTACTTGCCAGGCTTGTTAGTAAATGCCCAAACTGTTGCAATAGTGTCTTTTTTTTTGCAGTTTTTGAACAACTTACTTTGGAAGACGGAACAGAATTAAGATATATGCTTTGTGATGTTTTGGATTCATTATTCGTCTTTTTAAACAGAGGTTAGCGCACATCAGTTGAGATGTTATTTTTTGTTTTATATGTTGACGTTGATAACAATACTCTATATCTCCCATATTTCAGACTTACTTTCATCAGCTCAACAATGTTTAATATCATTGGCAGTTTTTTTGCAACAGCTTATGCAACTTGATTTTTCCGAAAAAACGTCTCTTTTACAGTGTAAGCGGTTGTCAGACTTCCAGGTTTGTGCTCTCGCTCCTCAGAACCGCTAATTTTTTACGCATTGAAGATTTCAAAATTTTTTACAGTTCGAATAGAAATTTGATGATGAGGATGATATTGAAATGTTTGCCAGAAAATATTTTCAGAGATTACGGGGGTTTTCTGACCGATCATTCGCTCTGATGCATCGCTTTCTAGATAATCGGCATGCTGCTTCTGGCGTTGTATACGGAAGAGTTGTTATGCCGCGACTATTATTCTGGACATTTGAAAATACCGTACTTCCCACGAATGCTTATCCACCGAAACTGATGACCACTTATAAGGAAGCGATGCTAAATTTTATCAGATTAAGAATAGAAGTGAGGAAATAATTAAGCATTATGCACTTCAATTTTATTGTTTGCAAAGGTTTTTAATAATTTTATCATTTTGTTTAATGTTGAATCAGAAACTGTTTTAACTAAAACTGTTATACTCACATTAACCTCCCTTTAAAAATAACCTCTCAAAACATAATCAACTACCAACTATTTTGAAGATATTCAATTATTTTAAGTAAAGACTTGTTGAAATTGAAGTTTCAGAAAAATTCTGAAGAGGAGATATTCACTATTTTATTGGTGCTTCAAAATATATGTTTTCGTTGTCCAGATCGCAGTGATTATCGTGCAAAAGTGGCAAGTTCCGTTATTGAAGTCCTTGCCTATCTGCCTCCCAAACATATTCGAGTAAATGTTACCAATATTAAAGAATGATTTATGAATTCATTCTTATACTCCGTAAAATAACTTGCCTATTTGTATCTCTAGGATTTTGCCAACTTCCTGTTGCTAATTGGCGCCAATTCCAAAGTTGCAGTACGTGGTTTTGTTATTGAAATTGCAGTACCGTTTGTGAAACAATGTGGTAAATTGTTTTCTCATCCTTAATTCTGCTAAAAAAAGAGTGAAAATTGTTTTGGAGCATACATATTACAAAATATATTATATATATACTTTTTTTTTTCTAACGAAACAATACAATAAGAATTGCATTTGTAAAGATAAGGTATCTAATTTAAGACATGGTTTCAGGTCATATCCTTGAAGTTAGTTGCAAGAAAGAAAATAGAACTTACGATTGCGAACAAATGCATGAAGAGGTGATTTTTGATTCTTCAATTTTTTTATCTTTGGCAAATCAGTTATGTTTCAGTTGCTCTCAGACCAACAGACTAATAAAAATATCAGCATGTCTCGTTTTCTTGTTGATTTTCCTGTTTAATTTATTCTGTTAAACATGGTCTGGTCTTTTTTAAACATATATTGAATCGAATTACATTTTTTGTCGGATAATAAGTCCCAAAATTTATTCTTAGGACATGTCCAGTGGCAAAGAAATACCGATGGAGGTAGATGGAGCTGAAGAAGATGGTACCATTAAACTCGTCTCTCTTTTGCGACAAATGTAACTTGTATTAGAAATATTTTGGTAATGTTCTTTGCATATTTCAGATGATTGTGATAGACAAAAAGTCCGAAAGAAAGAAAAAGGAAAGAAAGCAATAAGGTTTGTATTTTTTTAAAGCATCTTAAGCAGATAAAAAGATCAGTTGCTGTGTTTGTTAAATAAATCGAGAAATATTTCTTTTAATAGTAATTTTAAAATTACGCTGCATTTCAGATACGATTATATAATCTTTAAAAATGTTTCATAATTACCGTTCTATTTTTACCATGTTTTGATTTGTTTATTATTGATTTTATGTAGAACTTCAAGGTTCAGGAACATGTTCTGTTATGTTGTGCTGTTACTACTTCCATATTATGACTAGATATTAAAAGGAAATGAATTCAGCTTCTGGAGACTTTTTAGTAACATCGAGATTGCATGTGAATGTCACTGGTCTTGTTGATAAAACATTGGATGAAGATGACTTTAGTGAATTATTTACAGCAACAATCTGGTAAAGAAAATCGGTCTTTATAATGCTATTTTGGTTTTTGTAATAAGAAGCTGTAATGATAAATCCCCAATGGTACGAACTCGAGCTTTGATGCAGATTGCAATATTGCTTCATGATGAAAATATACGCAGCAGGCTTTTGAATTTATCAAAGACACCGGTAAGCTTAATGCGAAACCGCACATTATGTTTTTCCACTTCTCTACTTTACTGAATTATTCGTTAGCGTTGTTTATTAATGAATTAATCTTTTTAACGAAGATATTCATTTAATGATGTAGTGATACTACCGTGTTCTGCTGCGGAACTCTTCAAAGGCCAAATCATTTTATAGATGTATGTTTATTGTTGTGAAGATGAGGATGCTAAAAAGCAACGAGATGATCCAATACTTCTGAGGACTATTACAACTCGCTCTTTGGATGCAAGGGTACTGCAAGATTTTTTAATTATACAGTTTCTTCTGGTATTTATTTTCTCTAAAAATTAAGAAGAATGATACGATGCATCAGTTCTTTTCTAAACCAGAAGAATCTTTCCAGGTATCAACCCGCAGAGCAGCAATAATTGCTCTTGAATCACTTTTTTCAACTCTTTCTGAATCACAACAAGCAGAATTTTTAACAGTTTTCCAGGTATCACTATTTTTTAAAGCTTACAGTGTTATATGAACGAACAATTCAAGCACGGAATAATGATCATAGCTCGTACTATTGCATACATTAGTGTAATAAATTGTTTTATATATTGTCTCCAGCAGCACTGTCGAGATCCCTCACTATTGGTAAGGAAACAAGCTGCTGAATCATTGAGCCGTTTACTTTTATCCTTTGGTGCAAATACTAACATGCTTGATAAAGTCTGGCTTACATCAGTTCTGCCTCTAATTAATGATCGTGAGCAATCGGTTGTACAACTAGCATCCAAATTAGTTTTGGTAAGTTTCAGTTTGCAGTTTCATTTCTTCAATTTGTTAAATCCAAATTTAATGTCGGAATTATGCAAATTTTTACGGGAATATCCCAATTGTCCATGTAGTTTTAAGAAATCTTATGCTTACCTTATGTTCTAATTAAATGAAAAAACATTGTAGGAAACACTTATTTTGCCTGCTGTAGAAGACACGACACCTTTTGTTTGGCGTATTTTGGAAGCAGTAGAACAAGAAGTTAATCATAGGTTCTCATCATTAAATTTCCTTCTTTATTGATTTTCATTTAATAATTTTATTATATTTTTTCGTCTGGATGGTGTGTTCGTTCAACTTCATGCCAGTTGAAAGAGTGGGAGAGAAGGAAAGGACTTCATGTAAATTTTATGCCAGACCTTCACCACTCTTTCAACTTCTTCAACAAAATTTAAAAATCCTAATTTTTAAATTATCTTAATTTTCTTTCATGCGTTTTTTATTACAGGCGCTTATTATTACGCTCTTTACTTCACCAGGCTAAAGAAGGAGGGTTAACAGAATGCGCCATTGAAAGCTTGTTAAAGAAGTGTGACGACTTAAAGAATGTGAATATTGTTTGGATGTTACTGAATTTTTTAAGCAATGTGTTCAAGGTACTTATTCAATCTTTCTAACTTCCTCCAATTTCAAATTCTTTATGATCTGGCAAAAATTAATGTTTGAAATGAATACTTTAGAAGTGGCAACTTTTTTCATACCCACTTTTAAATTTCATTTAGATTGATGGTTCTCAAGCGGTCCGTTTCTGGTATACGCTAAATGGAAGTGATGAAAGTAATGTAGTTGGTTACGTTGCCGAAGTTATTGCGCGCTGTGCTGATCGTATAAGTGAAGCGAGTCGAAACCAGCTTATTGAGAATTTTAGTACAAAGCTAACTGAATTTGGGTACAGCTGATAAAGTTATTTAAAGAATAATTGGTATTCATGTCGCTAATATTTGGAATTTTGCTTGTTTCATTTCAAAAATTAGAAATTTAAAAAAATTTTTTTTTTTAGTATAAGCGAAGGTCACATCGCTCATGTTTACTACGCATTTGCTCGTTTATGTAATGGTATTGGCGATGACAGCGCAGGTGCAAAACAGATGCTGGAATTTAACCGTAATTTAATGGATAAATCACTTAAAATTTTAAAGAACATAATTTTTCATCCGATCAGTGGTTCTGGTGAAGACCTACTTACTCAGGAAAAGTAAGTAAATTGAAGTAAATAGTGAAATTGAAGTTTTTTTTTTTTTTTTTGATTGAGTTAGATCTCAGCTCCATTCTTTTTAATGGTATGATTTCGCCAGCTGAAATTTATTTCCAGTGACAAAACAGCAAAACTTCTTGTACGAATTATAAACTCACTGGGTGAAGCAGTTCAGTATAGCCCGATATTATTGAGCACGAATCCGAAAGTATTTGATATTATGCAATTAATAATGGCTTCTGATGTGATACAGCAACAACTGACTCAAATAGGTTTGCAAATTGATTTTCTTTTAGACTTCTTAGTAGAAGTAATGCCTTATTGCTTCGAGGGATTGAAGGTTAAATTTGAGATGTCAAGCAATGCAAATCATTTGTTATTTTACCATGTAGTAACTTTATTATGTAAAAAAGCTGAACAGATATAGGTTTTATGTAAATCATTATTGAGATTTATATTTTTGACTCCGTATTTTCAGGTACTTTATGCATAGCCGCATCTTCAGTACGCCCATCAACTGCCGCTCATTGTTATGATATGAAAGTAAACATTCTCTTCATGTTTTTTATGAGTAGGACAGGTCTACAAATAAAATAATTTTACAGTTAACATATGGTCCACGATGCTCTCGTTTTAGTGAGATGAGGAAAGGTCGCAGAGAGAAATAGAAAAATTGGAATGAAAAAAGAGGAAAAAATTTAGAAATTCGTAGCATAGTTAAGTTGAACGATTAGTCATACTGTAGCATCGTAATTGTAGTATTTAATTTTTATGGTAACATTTCTTTGAGGGTTTTGTAAAGCAACAACCACAACAGACTGATGTTCAACAAGTTCCGGATTGCAATTCTTATGAACACTGTGTTTCTTCGGCTGGCTTTCTTCAAACCTCTATGTCTTCTAATCAACCTAATAAAGATATTGATAGTAATCAGAAAGCATCTGCATCAGTAAATCAAGAATGTAGAACATCGCAACCAACCAGTCATGGATTAGGTCCTACATTTCTGCGCCAACATACTGTTAATATGGAAGTGTTAACTCCAGCTGTAAGAGCACAGGCAGTTCTAGCTATTGGTAAAATGTGTCTTCAGGTAAGTAGAATTGAAATTACTTTTTTCTTGTGACTCTTGTTTATGTACTTTGCACTGTGATATTAATAGACTTCCAGGACGAAAAGCTGGCAAAGAAATGCGTCCCAGTGCTGTCACGACAGCTTTTAGTAAACAGCAATCACTTAGTTCGAAGCAATATTGTTAGTGTAATTTGTGATCTTTGCAAAAGGTTTTTTTTTTTCTTTTCTTTTAATTTCATTTATTGTTAGGGCATCATATATTTTATATACTATCAAATCTAGAAATTTTTAATTTCTCATTTGTTATTTACAAACACACAGCTCCTATTTCGGATTTCATCCAGCAACCTTTTTAATCAGGTACACATTACTAGTTGACCGTCACAGTGCAATCATAGCTTCTTGTCTGAAAGATCCATCGACGCTGGTGCGAAAACAAACGCTAATGTTATTGACACATCTCATCAAAGAACAGTTTGTACGTTGGGCAGGGCAGGTAATATATAATTATTGAATAAAAATATATTTTTACAGATTGATTTAAAAGATAATATATTTGTTGATATTTACTGATTCATATATTTATTGATGGTAGGAAGCAAAAACTAATTCTTGTATACTACTATTGGTTTCAGATTATGTACAGATTTGTGTCAACAATTTTGGATGAAAATAAGGAGGTTCGCGAATACGCAGAGATGTGTTTGGTAAGTGGATCAAATAAGAGAGGGCTGACCAAATCTTGTATAATTTATACAAATTAAATTATGATACTTCTACTTTAGATTGATGTGCTGCTTGTGCAATTCCCGAACATGTTTGTAAATCATTTCCTGGAATGTGTTTTTTATTTCAATTCAGTCACACACAGTTTATGGTCGGCGACAACTAATGGTAAGATTTTATATGATAAATTCAAATTAATTCAATTTAGTTCATTTTCCCATTTTCAGCCATGGAAGATGATACAGAAAGGCAAGATTTAAAGTGTTCTTTATCAGGATTTCGATTAAAGAATGCACGAATGAGACTTTACCGATTTATGGTTGGTTCGCATGTCTTCAATTTGAAATTCTTGATTTTTTTTGAACTGCACTTGGTAGTTTAAGGTCGAGTTAAATAAATTGCAAATGTTGTACAGGTATCTTGTTGCTGTTAGCATTTATGATAGTTTCATAATATAAGTCGTGCAGAAGCATTTTTCCATCGATGTTCTGTTTAGATAAAAACATTTAATGATGAAAACAAATTTATGATTGGAATGCGTATTGGTCAGGAAGTTTATTCAGCTATAGTAGACGGCGAGCTCAACATTTACGATCGTCGTGTTAAAGCCTTGCTTGAAGATTGCTACGAAGTATTATTTCTTTGTTTTTTTATTTTTAAGCTATCAGATATAGATCTTTTTCTGCGCTTGATGCATAAGACATCGAATATCTCCCTTTATAGAAAATTGTAATTATTATGCTATGCTTGTAACAGATAATGTGTTGTTCGGAAATAAAACTGTCTATGGCTTTGGGTAAGAGATCACCAGGAGAAGCGGATGGTGATGATGATGATGAACCGCCATCAAATGTTCAGGTAGTGCTTTCATAAAATTTTCTCTTACCATTCTACTTTTGTTGTGTTGCTAGGTTGACAAAAAAACTGCACATAAAAGTAATTCAAAGCATTAAAATGAAATTTTAGGAAGCAGCAAAGAAGGTTGTAACACAAGCATTCCGCAAAGGTATCATCGATGCCATTTTACCTCATATCATACAACTAAAATATTATCTACAGGAGAAGCGCCTACCTGAATTGGAATTTGGAATCATCAGAGTTCTGAGGTATGATCGAAGTCAATACTTGTTTTCTACTTATAATAGTAAATTTCAAGCCTAACTTTGTTTTTTTAATAAAATTTGTTTTTAGGGAATTATGTAAAGACCATCGCGAGCAATTAGACGAATTTTTGGCAAGTGACAAGCAATTAAAAGCTGAAATAAAGTTTGATCTCGAAAAACTTGAGGCATTTTTTTTTCTTTCGGAATGATCGAAGATTGATAAGTAATTAAGTGAGCCAAAAAAAATCTGTAAGGCATAATGCAGATGTATATGATTTTCATTCCTTTCTTTAGTTTTTGTTGTTAGAGTAAAGCCTAATTAACGATTAAGGTTTGCATCGAAACTCAAGCTGGCTTGATAAAGTTGTATCATATATCATGTTTAAGGAAAAAGAAAAAAGGATGAAAATTTTGAACAACAATGATATAATGGCTGAAGTACCTTTTTTGCCAAATAGAAAGGTTTCATTTGCTGCTGATCGCATGGTATCTTCATCAGGTCAAAATTCTGAAACTCGGAAGCAAAAATGTAAAGTGGAAACGATTACACATACCGAAGTGCAAAAAAGTGAACAAGATAACGATGGTAGTTTTAATTGTTCTTTATTATTTGCTGCTGATGGCATGGTACCTTCACCAGGTCAAAATTCTGAAATTCGAAAGCAAGAAGGTAACGTGGAAACGATTACACATACCGAAGTGCAAAAAAGTGAACAAGATAACGATGGTAGTTTTAATTGTCCTTTGTTTTTTTGGTTCTTCATCAGTTCTTGCATATTATTCTCGAAAACTAAACTTAGTATGTAATTTTTTCATGTCTATTACATTTTAATTACACATTGATCGAATTGTATTCATTTAATAATTGGGAAAAAAATGTGTCATTTCATAGCAGCCACATTTAGGTGATGCCCCAATAGTTGATTCTATTGATAAAAGAGACCGAGAGTTGACGGAAGGACAAACGAAAAGTAATGATGACGAGGAGAAGAATGCCGAGAGTGTTGTAAGTTTCATTTCGCTTATAATTAATTTTAGTGGTAAGTAAATTACGCGTAGGAGATTTTGGGTATGAGTAATTAATTTGGACTATTGGCTTATTTAAAGCTTTCGGAACACATTTCTTACGTCTCATAAACTTTTTGGGAGTTCAAAGAATTCCATAATGTGCATTTATATCCTGATTTTTTAAACTTCTTTAACCATAATTTTTTCCCATATTTTACGACATAATTTTTCTGCATATTTCGATTCTTTTTTAGCAACCTTCAACAAGTGTAAAGGAATATTTTATCCCAACTGAAATTACTATGAAGATCAAGAAACGAAGTCAAAAAATAAAATTTGAACAGGCAGATGAAGAAAGCGAGTTACCCGTACGAGCGATTTCAACGCCAGAACATAACGTCGGCGAGGTTTTTTTTTTTTTGTTTTTTGATGATTTATTTTTTGATGAATATTAGTCTTATTGGTATTGTGCTAATAGACGTATACTAATACATCTATGATTGTCATTAATCATAAACTTTAACAGTCATATTAAAATTTTATAGCCGCGCTGCATTTCAGCTAACTTTTGGTCTGGGCGATGATATGTCAGCAATTGAAAGTACACCAACAAGAAAAAGTTAGCTTACAATTATCCAGATCAGATTTTGTATTTTGCATATTTCTTTCTTTCTAAAAATAATAGAAATATATATATTTCAAGGGTCAAAACGACAACTTCGACAACCCTGTGTGCCACCAATTGAAGAAGCTGATAACGAAAATGAATGATTTCTTTTCTAAATTATGTAATGAAGACCAATAACCCTTCAACAGTAATAAGTTTAGATCATTTGACCATTCGCGTATCACTACCATATATTTCATGCTGATCTCAGGTTGATGTTTTCTGTTGTCTCTTAGTGCAGTTTTCATAAAGCAATGTTTGGCTCATTTCTTTTCCTGTCGAAGTTGTCTAGCATAATCTTTATAAAGAGAAATCATGTTCAGTTTGAAGTGTGGTATCTATTAAGTGTTATCTGAATGTGTGTACGCATCTGAGATATACACTTAGACCATACTGGTAGTTCCAATTTAGAAAATATGCGTTGTTGCGCTGAATCGTCATCGATATCGTTATCATCTGCGATGTATTTTGCTCATAATTAAACTACTAGAATTAGCAAAGTGCAATGTGTGCCGTTAGAAATGTGAGGAAAAGTCATACATCATTTCTGCCTTCTTTTTTGATTGCTTAAAACATTAACACTCAATTATGAACTTAGTTACTAATTATAGAGTATTAGCAAATGCTAATTTAATTCAATAAACACTGCAAATACACTCTGTATAATGCATTTTTTGAAGCCAGAATTATGTTAAATGTGCATTGCTTTTTACCTTTTATAGTATCACTTATAAAATGTTTCTCTCCTTTCTATCCATTTTGCCTATATTTTTCAAAAATAAAATTTTGCCGCATTAGTAATGATAAGTATTAAGCACTTAATTACACATTATATCATAATAATAAATAAATCGTAACATTTGCGCTCAAAATATTTCTTTGTAGCTACTTCAGTTTCTAACATTGTATGATAGGATTGCTGAAATTTGCAAACGTTTACAGGATTTCCTGCGGTATCAACGAGAGTTAAAGAGAGGGAAGAGTTGGAGGTTAAACTGCTTCAATTGGGTAGGTAGGAAGAGCATCTCTTTACAGGGTAATTACCAGATTGTAGTCTGTCCATTCATCCATTGCAGATAACCCTCAATATCATCATTTTCTTTGCTTATTAAAAAACTTCTGGAGGATTGAGCGTTGTCATTTAACGAAACATCCATATTTTGCTTTGTTTCCATGCCCTGAAAGTATTAATTTTTGATGTTGTAACTTCTTTAAACTTTTGAACATCAATGTTTTATTGAGGAATTTTTTCGAATATGAGATGAATTGAAAGATACCTGGGTGAATGTCTTGATGTTAGAAATATCTGTGAAACTGTCATTATCTGAAAGGAAATATACTGTTACAGAAATAATACATTGAAATCAAACAATGATATACTGATAACTTTCTTAATGTTTTTTGTTTGCTATAATAATAGCTGAAAGTTTAGGTCATTGTTTCGTACTATACAATGATAATATATGATTGATATTCAAGAAAGAAATTAAATTTTTATTTTGAATATTTAAACTTTTACTGTTATAAGGAGGAGAAGTAAAGAGATCTTCGTCGGTTGTTGTTGTTGATGATAAAACATCAGCCGATAATATGTTTGTACGCGGGATTAATTTCAATTTTGTGCCTTGAAATTCTGCTAGATTTACCGTTTGACCTAGATTCAAAGCATTAAAAAATTTTGAAAATGATTTCCTTTCTTACTGTTTTATATATGTGCTGGATATGCTATCCGGAATAGTATCCGGAATAACAGAATATCACATCATGTTAATGTAAGAGTTACCATCAGGAAATTGAATAGCACTGAATCCATTCAAAAATAAAGTGAAATATATGTTATTCAAATGATCAATGTGATCTTCCAAAAGCATCCTTAACTGCTGCAAATCAGTTTTAATTGCATTTTTCATTTCTTCTAAATGAAATTTTTTCAAGTTGTTATTTTCAGATATACAAAGACTATGATTTATTTTCAAATGATCTAAGGAAATTGTGTAAGGTAATTTAGACTATCACATTGTTTATTTCCATTTCAATTTAAGTCATTCTCAAAAACAAAAAAAAAGACCACCTGTCGATGAAATCAACATGGCTGAATTGAGTAGGTAAGATGGTTAGGTATACTTGAATTGACTAGACTATCAGATATTTCCATTTTAATTTAAATTATTCTCAAGAAAAAGATTGCTGATTAGATAAGCAAATTGATAAGATAATTGGATATACTTGAATTGATGACTTACTTTGAATCGAATTTGATGCCTTTGATTTTCACGCATCAACGTTGAATTGCTCATTGTTAATTGACACATGAGCTTTTCGTAATATTGTTGCACGTGATCTAACTCATAGAAGTCACTTTTCTGAATTATTTCTTTACGTCATTGAACATTGTCAATTATTATTATTACTATTATTATTATTATTATTATTATTATTATTATTATTATTATTATTATTATTGCATATTTCGATTATTATTTTATTATCATATTATTAATTTCACTTAATGTCTAACGAATTGTCTCGAAAAATAAAAGAATATATGATAAATAATTATTTTATAAAGTAAATTGAGAATTTGACAAATTTAATATTTAATTATCATCCTATGCTTCTTCCATTCAAGCATCCCTTCCAAGGCAGTATAGAAGAATGAATTAGCATTGTTAGAAAAATATTAACCGTTGCTAATCGATGGTTCACCTCAACCGTAAATTCATTCCGTTTTTGCTCGCTACTCGAAAAGTAATGTTTTGTTGAGCTTCTATAACCACTGTAACCATCCTGAAACTTGCCCAATTATTCCTATTATATTATATAGTGCTTCATCCATTCCGTTTCAGTCATCAAAAAATTATTTTTGCTGTTCACAGATTGTTCTTAGAATCTTTTCAATTATTAATTCAAAAATATTCTTCAAAAGGAATTCATCTATGTATGGAAAAACATACATTATAACCTTATCACAACCATATATGATTGCATTAAATCTAGTTTTTATGACAGTAATGAATTCATTGTGAAGTAATTGTCAAATTGATTGTCAACCTGGTACATTTTTACCAAAACAGATGGTTGATTTTTATGAATATTGTTTGCTATTGCAGAAGATTCTTGAGCTGATGCTTCCATTTTATCCTCCTTAAAACGTGATGATAATGGCATATAATTGCAAAATTGTGCTGACTTCAGTTTACCGGAAGGACGACATTTCGGATCCGAAAACAAAGGAGCACCACATAATACTGTAAGTATATTTTTTATGTTTTATATATTTTTGCTTTCCTGATATTTGCATTTTACATTTTTCAGTTCTGAAATATGTATTAAAGACATCAAATGAATGAGAGAGTTGTGAAGTTATTTGAAAATAGCATAAGTGTTGCAATTTTTGACATAAGCAAATTTTGATCATTTAAACAAATTTAAAATGATTTAATCTGTTCGCAAAATGAAAATTATTAATAAACTTACAGGTGCGAACAAACGAAGTAGCAGCAGGTGGCTTTCCATATGAATGATCATCACTCACAACCACTGTATTTCGCATTGTCTGAAATTAGTTAGCCTTTCCAAATAATTTCACTTCTTCAGAAATAAGCTAACAGAGCACATTTTGACACTTTCTAAAACATATCATTCTGTCCCAATTTTTCTGACAGAAACTAATTTAAGTATGTCACTTGGAAATTCAAAAGGAAAACTTTAAAAAAAAAAAACTTATTAACATTATTGTTATTCAAAATTTTGAACACAAAATATAAAATTGATGAAATAAATTTTAATAGAGACAAGAAAAAAAAATTTTTTTAGCGATATAACCATATTATAATTATTATTTTTGTTATCAATAACAATAATAATAATAACAAACAATAATAATAATAACAAATAATAATAATAATAATAATAATAATAATAACAGTAATAATGATAATAGTATTAATAATAATAGTAATAATGATAATAGTAATAATAATAATAATAAATAATAATAATAATATTATAACAATAATAACAGATAATAATGAATAACAATAATGATAATAATAATAATAATAATAATAATAATAATAATAATAATAATAATAATAATAATAATAATAATAATAATAATAGTACTAGTAACTAGTACTAGTAGTAATAATAATAATAATAATAATAATAATAATAATAATAATAATAATAATAATAATAATAATAATAATAATAATAATAATAATAATAATAATAATAATAATAATAATAATAATGAAAAATGCGCAGTGTTATTTTGATAATACGAATAAAATTAGAATAATTTTCTGGAACGAATAGATAACAAATGGCAAATGGAAAGCAAAGAATGATGGATATTTGAAACAATAACGCAGCATTGGATATTAGATAAATAATGCAATTGCATTTGATATGTTTTCATCGCTAAAAGAATAAAGGCTTTATAGCTAAATATCAATAACTGTACTATTTAAACTTTAAAAATTTAATATTTTGTTTGAAAAAAAAATATTTTCTAATAAAATTGGACATTTATTTACTTATTTAATCTTAATTATCCAATAATTAGAGATTAAATGAAATGAAATAAAACACAGTTTGTAAGCAAATGTTTAAAATTGAAAATAAAATTCAATTTTAAATGAATCAGAGGATGAAAATTTAGGAGATTGAATTGTAAATAATATTTTTTTTTATCATAAAAAGCTCATCTTGTAAAATTGGAATAAAAAAAAAAAAAAAACGGCAAAAAGAATAGAATTGGAATTTAGAAATATAAAAAAAAGAAAAAAAAACAATTAAATTTCCTTTCTAATTTATGCTATAATCCAGGGAATTTCTATGCTTGGGCAATTCAACTTCAACTCAGTAAAAGTTTCTTAAAAAAAAAAAAAAAAAAAAGGAAAAAGAGAAAATCCATCGGTATTAAACAACTTTTGAAAATCCCAATGGATTTTTGAAAGTGTTTGAAAAGATGAAGAAAATATTAAAATTGGTTGAAATGCTTTTCATTGATGATGCAAATATTTGCGAATATTTTGATCTGTCATACTTCTTTGCTAATAAATGAGTTAATAATTAGTAATTGACAAAGGTCACAATG